TTCGTGCGAGCTGTCGCTCCCCTCCGGCGCCCTTGTCAGCTAACGCCCTTTAGAACATAGTTTGCCTGCTGCTTGCAATTTGTATGAGGGACGTGGTTCGTAGAACGTTCTCTCGCGAATCGCTGGCTCTTGCTTCGTTGGTTCGTGTGCGTCTAGCGTGCGTGGACCGACGAGGCACAACACACTAGATTGAACACCATAATCAAACATATGCTGCCTGCCATTCCTGTCCTTTTCCGCTGCCACTTGGGGCTCACCGTATCTTGTGCCGTGCCCGCGTTGGAGTTGCATGTTTTAGATCTTGAATACTACATCTTACCCTGTTCCTCTACTTACAGTCCCCCGCCCTTCTCTCCCCTTTCAGGTTTCTTAGAGGCATCCGATTGTCTTCGGAGGCCTCCCACAATCCCTGGAGGCCCTCCCAGGGGGCTTCTGGAGAACGCGGCAGACATTCCCGAACATGCGCCGACCGAACCTAAAAGATCTCGACCCCAACCCCCCGAAGCCTCGAGAGTTGGCACGTCGTGGACAAGTCGTGGGGGTTCCTCGGCCAGAGAGTTGATGCAGAGCTACATTGTCAATGCTTCGCTGCCTTGAGATGTTGGTGTGTCCTTGCTCGCTGGAGAACTTGACACGTGTGCGGCGCCACGCTGACGATGCCACGATTCCCTGTGAGAGCGCCGCGCACCCCATTAGAGGTGGCGGGGGGCATGAGCGATCCGTCCAACAAGATGCTCGCCGCAGCCATTTTTGGCTCTGCCCCCCCCCGGCGGCGCCGGCCCCCCCCGCCGGCCGCCCGCCGAGGGCGGGCGCGATGACGGGCTTCGGCGGTCCAACGCCCGAGGGGGGCGCCGACCGCAGCGCGGCCGCGGGAGCGCGGGCCGCCCCCTCTCTGCGGGTCCCGCTCGGCGTCCTCCATGCGCTCCGAGTCTCTGCCTTCCTCCTCGCCCCCTTCGCTCCTGCCGCCTCCTCCTCCTCCTCCTCCTCCTCCTCCTCCTCCTCCTCCTCCTCCTCCCTCCTCCTCCTCCTCCCTCCTCCTGCCGCCTCCCCTCTTTGGGGGCTCCCGAGCGGGGTCCGAGCGGGTGGGGTCGGGGGATCGCGCCGCATCGCCGACGCATCGCCGATGCGGCTCGACGTGGGGCCCGATGTTCTCCACGCCCACGGCGCCGATGTTTCCTGGCGATGCGGCGCGATGCGCCGTCCCCTATCGGTTCTGGCCCTGTCTGGGGGGCCTCCACCTCTCTCCCTCCCTGCCCGACCCTCGTCCTGATCCTTTTTCCTTCCGCATCCCCTCCCGCCTCAGCCTGTCTCCTCCCGCCTCCAGTTCTCGGCGTCGGCGTCGGCGACGTCGCCCCGCGGGAGGAGGAGGAGGAGGATGAGGAGGAGGAGGAGGAGGAGGAGGAGGAGATGGAGGAGGTGGAGGAGGAGGAGGAGGAGGAGGAGGAGAGGAAAGGAAAGGAAAGGAAAGGAAAGGCACGGAAAGGAAAGGAAAGGAAAGGAAAGGAAAGAAAGGGAAAGGTCAAGTCAAGTCAAGTCCGGTCGAGGGGCCTGGAGGCCTTTCGCTCCGCAAGCGGAGACGGAGGGCGTGAAACAATACGGCAAGAAAACGCGCATGTAAGAGAAATGGTGAATATAATTCCGAACCAAAATTCAATCTTACATCATGCGTTCCATCTCATGCATTTCAAACATACAGTCTCCAACCGCTGCCAGGGGAAATACTCTTGGCGACCTACAACATTTGATAACCTCGTACCTTGCTCTTGTCTTCAGAAAGAGTCGACGGCACCTGTCCACTGTCCATCTACGTCACGGCCGGCCTCGGCGTCGAACTCCCGGCGGGCGACATCGTAACATTTGCGTTTGGCACGTTTGCGGGTCACCAGTGGCAAGACGCCACAAGGCGCCACAGGGAGCGATCCATCACAACGAGTCAGTCTGACACAGGAAGAATGCCTAAAGCGACGCGCACTTTTTGTTTGCAACGTCGCCCCGCTTCCTCCCAACTTTCGCTGGGATGCTTGTTGAAACCGACCATCTTGCGCAGCATTTTTGCTCGCGTCGACGCAATCCGCGACCGATGGACTGCTGTCGTGGCTGTCGTCGAGAGACCGTAGACCGCGGTAGGCGTAACAACCGCGTCGAAAAGTTTCAAGCGAAGGCGCAACGATATAATTTTCTTCAACAGAACTGCTTTGTGCAAGTGAAGCTTACCCCATGC